TCCAGCTCTTGGGCTTAGGCAATTCTCTTGCCTCAGCTTCCCGAGTAGCTGGGACTACAGGTGCTTGCCACAACACCCGGCTATTTTTCTGTTGCAGTTTGGCCTGGGCTGGGTTCGAACCCACCACCCTTAGTATATGGGGCCAGCACCCTACTCACTGAGCTACAAGCGCCACCCAGAAACTATTTTTTTATTACTAACTTTTTTTATTATTATTGATTTTTTTTGAGACACAGTCTCATTCTGTCATCCTGGGTTGAATGCCATGGTATCATAGCTCACAGCAACCTCAAACTCTAGGGCTCAAGTGATCCTCTTGTTTCAGCCTCCTCGGTAGCTAGGACTACAGGCACCCACCACAATGCCTGGATAGTTTTTCTATTTTTAGATGGGGTCTCACTTTACTCAGGCTGGTCTCAAACTCCTGAGCTCAGGTAATCTACCCGCCTTGGCCTCCTAGAGTGCTAGTATTATAAGCATGAGCCACTGTGCCCAGCTTAGGTTTTTTCTATTTTTAGTAGAAGCTGGGCGTGGGGGGCTCTCACTCTTGCTTGGAGGCTGGTCTGCAGCTCCTGAGGTCAGGCAATCCAGTCCTGCCAGGTAGATGGTGGTACATCTATAATCTTAGCAACTTGGGAGGTTGAGGCTGGAGGATCGCTTGAGGTCAGGTGCTTGGGACCAGATAGGGCAACATAGTGAGACCCTGTCTCTTAAAAAAAAAAAAAAAATAGGGGCGGCACCTGTGGCTCAAAGGAGTAGGGTGCCAGCCCCATATGCCGGAGGTGGTGAGTTCAAACCCAGCCCCAGCCAAAAAAAAAAAAAAAATTAGGGTGGCACCTGTGGCTCAGCAGGTAGGGCACCAGCCCCATATACTGAGGGTGACAGGTTCAAACTCAGTCCCGGCCAAATTACAACAAAAAAAATAGCCAGGCATTGTGGCGGGTGCCTATAGTCCCAGCTACTCCGGAGGCTGAGGCAAGAGAATCACCTAAACCCAGGAGTTGGAGGTTGCTGTGAGCAGTGTGACACCACGGCACTCTACCAAGGGCAATAAAGTGCCTACAAAAGAAATTTAAAAATAAAATAAAAAGGAAGCGAATACGCTCTGTGAGCTTCTGTTTAGTGAGTTCCAGAATTTAGTGTCTGACGAGTAGGTGCTGTGACCCCTTAGTCAGTATTCCTGCCTCCTCTTGTGTGTGCACTGGGCCTCAGCCACGGATGTTGGGACAAGGCTAGGACAAGTTGCCCAAAGGAGTGACTGCTGAGGAAGGAGTGTGGAAGCTTCTTCAAAGGTTGTCTGAGGCTGGGTGAAGTTTCGTGGGCTGAGGTGGCAGGATTGTTTGAGCTCAGGAATTTTAGACCAGCCTGGGCAACATAGCAAGACCCTGTTTCTATAAAAAATAGGGCGGCACCTGTGGCTCAAAGGAGTAGGGTGCTGGCCCCACATACCAGAGGTGGTGGGTTCAAACCTGGCCCCAGTCAAAAACTGCAATAAAGGCTCGGTGCCTGTGGCTCAAGTGGCTAAGGCGCCAGCCACATACACCTAAGGTGGCGGGTTCGAATCCAGCCTGGGCCC